ATCGACATCTAAAAAGCGTATAAATGGAAGTAAGAATCTCAATTTGATCAATTTAAGCATTTTTAGGGTTAGGGTTATTATTAAAGTTTTTCTGGTTGAAGCAATCAAAGTCTATGTAAAATTTCGATTTAAAGCTTTCGTGACTGCAGGGATTCATCTTATTGGTTCTTTCGGTAAAGTCACGTAGAAGGTAAATAATAAAATAATGAAAATAAAACGTAATGAAAAAATATAATAATATAATATTTTATATTATAATAATAAAATAATAGAATATATTACTATAATAAAGTAATATAAATAATAATATAACCAAATAACATAAAATAATATTAGAATATAATTTATTATGTTTTATTTTTATTATTTTATTATTTCCCTTCTACGTGACTTTACCAAAAGAACCAAGAATATAGTAGATTTAGTTTTACTTCACTTTACTTTTCCAGGTAAGGCCCCCACTGAGCTGTGTAGTAGCGACCTGGCTATCACAAATGACAGCAGCGCACCGAAGTGGCTCATCACGTGACATTCACAGCAGCCAAATACTCTGAACGCATGTTGAGATGTTAACTACCTCTCCTGGTATACAGGAGATCGTTGGTTCGATTCCGACCCTGACGCCTGCTGTATATTTTGAGTTTGCGCGTCTCTCTCTCTCCCCGTGGTCGTGTGGATTTTTCTCCAGGTCCTCCGGTTTTCCCTCGACATTTAGAATCGAGATCACGCAGTCAGAGTATTTGGCCGCTATAAATGTCCACACAATGATAAGCCACTTCGTTGAGCTTTCATTCGTGATGGCCAGGTGGTCACGTCTGATAAAAGAGCTACTACGTATCCAGTTGGACCTTATTTGGTAAAATCCCAAGAAAATTTTTGTTAGTTTAAGTATGTACATATATAATTGTAAACAGAATCACAAACTAACGCTCAACTTTCTTAAACGTGTAAGAGTCAACGCGCGCCACCACCGTGCGACATCACGCGAGCAACCGGGACGACGCAGAGAATCTCTCAACCCTTTCCCGCGTCCGAGACGTCTGCAGAGTTCCAGGGTCGGTGGGTGTCACGTCACGGGTGGGTCACCGTTCACGGGGTGGGTGTCACCGTTCACGGGGTGGGTGTCACCGTTCACGGGGTGGGTGTCACCGTTCACGGGGTGGGTGTCACCGTTCACCGCAGAATCCCGCGAATCGAGCGCGCGGCTCGCCCTCGTTAATTCATTTAGAAGGCGCAGCAGTGGCAGCAGCAGCACTGCTGTTGTTGTTATAAAGACGTCGTTGCTCACCGCAGAGAAGCGTAGCGACACGACCGCCGCCACTCTGCGCTAGCCGGCGCCAAAACTGTGCCACACTCCCTGCCCCGCGTGGCCCTGTGGGAGCCTCGGTACCGATAAAGTTACTTTAGTTTTTACTGCGTTTTGTTGTTCCCACGACGACGACGTTCACGCACGACGCGCGGCGTCGTCGCGACGGCAAAGGGTGAAGTTCACGCTGGGGACATTTTCAACGGGGGAGGCAGCAACAACACGCAGGGTGATCCAAGTGCAGATGCCCCACTCATACCTACACCCCCCCCTCCCAACGCCCTCTCGGAATATTTTTTCATACCGCAGGAATCCGATGAGCTATGAAGCTCTTCTTCGCAGATCTCCAGCCATTCCACAGATGTCCTCTCCTAGCAACACCCCCCCCACCTCCTCCTCGGAGCTTTCCTCTCAGCAGCAAAGTGAATATCGCGCGAGCGATGGCTCGGGGCTACGGGACTGAGTCAGAGGTCGCAAACGGGTTTTGATTCCTTACCCGTACCCGGCCGCACCAGCGTCGTAAACAGGTACCCGTACCCGGTATCGGGTACCTGATTGCGACCTCTGAGGTGAAGCCATGTTGCAGGCGCGGGTGGGTTGATTCTAGGAACTTGAATTGTGAGAAGAGACAAGACGTTGGGAAATGAGTGACAGTTACTCACCAATGACTCACGGTCTACCCGTACCCGGCCGCACCAGGGTCGCAAACTGCTACCCGTACCCGGCCGGGTATCGGGTACCCGGTTGCGACCTCTGGACTGAGTGTTCGGAGATTTGTGAGCAGATGCCACCTTCGTCATCGGCCGCGGTTCAGTCTACCGCTGGATGGGTACGTACTGTACGTACTGTACGTACGTCGCACGGGGCAGGGCTACGAGACGGCACGCGGTGCGCATGGAGACCGGCGGGAGACGTGCAGACTGGGGTGTCTGTAGGTGGATCGCCCTGCGGTGCCCCCCTCGAGGGTAACAACAGTGCAGCTCTGCACGGGGGACTCTGCACACTCACACACACAGGGACCCCCAGGTGATGGGGGTGGGGGGGACGTGCAGTGGTTGGGACCTAGAACTCCGCACTTGCAATCGAGGGGTGGCCGGGTCGGTTTAATCTCCCACCCCCCACAGAGTGTGAGGCAGGTGTAGGAGGATCCGTAGGTTTCCGTGTTCACATTCAAAATCAGTTTCAAGAGTGGCACAGCCTCGGCTAATCACGTGGCCTGTTGTTTAAAACTAATTCACAGCTCGGCGCTGTGCGCGTTTTGCTCAGGATGGATGACTTTTCTGTTTCCACGGGAATGAGAAAATGCATTCTGGCCGGTGTGTGTTCTCTGGTGCCGGCGAAGAGTTGATAGATGTGCAAACGCCTTCTCACACATGGTGCACTTGAACGGCTTCTCTCCCGTGTGTGTTCTCTGGTGGCTGTGAAGAGTTGATAGCCGTGCAAACGCCTTCTCACACACCGTGCACTTGAACGGCTTCTCTCCCGTGTGTGTTCTCTGGTGGCTGTGAAGAGTTGATAGCCGTGCAAACGCCTTCTCACACACGGTGCACTTGAACGGCTTCTCTCCCGTGTGTGTTCTCTGGTGTATCTTCAAGTGATTCTTCCTGTCTGTGCTGTATGGACATTGGTCACACTGATGACTTTTGTTACTGGGCTTAGTGGGGTGTCTCCTCTGCACGTGATGCTGTAGACTAGAGCGGCAGATGAACTGACGGTCGCAGACAGGACACGGCAGCCTTGTGACCTCCACACCCACTCCACCTGCGTCATCCAGAGGAACAAGACACACGCGCACACACCAACATCTAGACATGAACACTCTTGCACACGTGTGTGTATATACAAAGGTAAAGTACCCACCAGCCATATCAGACTGTTGGGCAAGTGCTGTTTGCGAGTACCTATGAAGGCCGGCATGGCACACGAGGGAGTAGTTGGCCAACACCAGGCCCGGCCGCCTTTGTCTCTCCAGTGGCGATGTTTCCACGTTTAAACTAGCTACTCATTTGAGGCTGAGTCAACCTAGGCGAGGCCTAAATATTCACCACTGACGTTGGCCGCGAGTGGGAATCGAACTCAGGTGGCCGGGTTCATAGTGCAGTGGGCTCCATTTATATACACACAAAGACAAAGAACCCCCGTATAGCCTGTATATGCTTTTGGAACAAGTGCTGTTATCGGGCACCTATGAAAGACAGCACGGCACACGAGTGGGAGGGTGGCCAGCACCACACATGGCCGCCTTTGTCTCCCCAGTGGCGATGTTTACTACTACACACCACACCAGTTACTCACTTGCACCTTATCAGTGTGGGTGTTGCCATCATCTCGGTGGCTATCATCTCTAGGGAGTGGTGGCTATCATCTCTGGTGAGTGGTGGCTATCATCTCTGGTGAGTGGTGGCTATTATCTCTGGTGAGTGGTGGCTATCATCTCTGGTGAGTGGTGGCTATTCATCTCTGGTGAGTGGTGGCTATCATCTCTGGTGAGTGGTGGCTATCATCTCTGGTGAGTGGTGGCTATCATCTCTGGTGAGTGGTGGCTATCATCTCTGGTGAGCGGTGGCTATCATCTCTGGTGAGTGGTGGCTATCATCTCTGGTGAGTGGTGGCTATCATCTCTGGTGAGTGGTGGCTATCATCTCTGGTGAGTGGTGGCTATCATCTCTGGTGAGTGTGCTATCATCTCTGGTGAGTGGTGGCTATCATCTCTGGTGAGTGGTGGCTATCATCTCTGGTGAGTGGTGCTATCATTTCTGGTGAGTGGTGGCTATCATCTCTGGTGAGTGGTGGCTATCATCTCTGGTGAGTGGTGGCTATCATCTCTGGTGAGTGGTGGCTATCATCTCTGGTGAGTGGTGGCTATCATCTCTGGTGAGTGGTGGCTATCATCTCTGGTGAGTGTGGCTATCATCTCTGGTGAGTGGTGGCTATCATCTCTGGTGAGTGGTGGCTATCATCTCTGGTGAGTGGTGGCTATCATCTGTGAGTGGTGGCTATCATCTCTGGTGAGTGGTGGCTATCATCTCTGTTGAGTGGTGGCTATCATCTCTGGTGAGTGGTGGCTATCATCTCTGGTGAGTGGTGGCTATCATCTCTGGTGAGTGGTGGCTATCATCTCTGGTGAGTGGTGGCTATCATCTCTGGTGAGTGGTGGCTATCATCTCTGGTGAGTGGTGTCTATCATCTCTGGTGAGGGCTATCATCTCTGGTGAGTGGTGGCTATCATCTCTGGTGAGTGGTGGCTATCATCTCTGGTGAGTGGTGGCTATCATCTCTGGTGAGTGGTGGCTATCATCTCTGGTGAGTGTTGGGATTATTTCTGGTGAGTGGTGGCTATCATCTCTGGTAGTGGTGGCTATCATCTCTGGTGAGTGGTGGCTATCATCTCTGGTGAGTGGTGGCTATCATCTCTGGTGAGTGGTGGCTATCATATCTGGTGTGGTGGCTATCATCTCTGGTGAGTGGTGGCTATCATCTCTGGTGAGTGGTGGCTATCATCTCTGGTGAGTGGTGGCTATCATCTGGGATGGGCTATCGTCTCTGGTGAGTGGTGGCTATCATCTCTGGTGAGTGGTGGCTATCATCTCTGGTGAGTGGAGGCTATGATCTCTGGTGAATGTGGCTATCATCTCTGGTGAGTGTTGGCTATAGTCTGGTGAGCAGTGGCGAGTCTCTGGTGAGCGGTGCTCACAGTGTTCCTCGCTTGGTGGAGGATGCACGGGCTGCAGGTCTCTGGCGGTGGCCCTGGGAGCCATCTCGTTGCTGCTGCTGCTGCGGCGTCGCGAGGGCCCGGCCTCGCAGGCGATGCCCAGCTCCTGGGCGAACTCCTCGCCGTACCAGACCAGCAGCTCAGAGCCGGGCCCCACGGCACGGAACGTGCGGTAGTAAATCTGCCCCCGGTGCTGGAAGGCCACCAGGTTCTGCTCCTGCTCATTCCTCGCGCAGTTGACGAACCTGCGCGGGCAGACGCGGGGGCGGGGTGGGCGCCGTTAGCGAGCGCCTATTAAGGGCCGGCACTGGGCGCTACGTGGGGGTGGTGTGGCTGGAACCACGCTCCGTACCGGGTGCTCATTTGATGCCGAGTCGACCAAGGGGAGGCCCAGGGTTGGTCTCTGTGTGTAGTGGTTCTGGTCTCTTTAGTGGTTCTGGTCTCTGTGTGTGGTGGTTCTGGTCTCTGTGTGTAGTGGTTCTGGTCTCTGTGTGTAGTGGTTTTGGTCTCTGTGTGTGGTGGTTCTGGTCTCTGTGTGTAGTGGTTCTGGTCTCTGTGTGTGGTGGTTCTGGTCTCTGTGTGTGGTGGTTCTGGTCTCTGTGTGTGGTGGTTCTGGTCTCTGTGTGTGGTGGTTCTGGTCTCTGTGTGTGGTGGTTCTGGTCTCTGTGTGTGGTGGTTCTGGTCTCTGTGTGTGGTGGTTCTGGTCTCTGTGTGTGGTGGTTCTGGTCTCTGTGTGTGGTGGTTCTGGTCTCTGTGTGTGGTGGTTCTGGTCTCTGTGTGTGGTGGTTCTGGTCTCTGTGTGTAGTGGTTCTGGTCTCTGTGTGTAGTGGTTCTGGTCTCTGTGTGTGGTGGTTCTGGTCTCTGTGTGTAGTGGTTCTGGTTTCTGTGTGTAGTGGTTCTGGTCTCTGTGTGTGGTGGTTCTGGTCTCTGTGTGTGTGGTTCTGGTCTCTGTGTGTGGTTCTGGTTCTGTGTGTAGTGGTTCTGGTCTCTGTGTGTGGTGGTTCTGGTCTCTGTGTGTGGTGGTTCTGGTCTCTGTGTGTGGTGGTTCTGGTCTCTGTGTGTGGTGGTTCTGGTTTCTGTGTGTGGTGGTTCTGGTCTCTGTGTGTGTGGTTCTGGTCTCTGTGTGTGGTGGTTCTGGTTCTGTGTGTAGTGGTTCTGGTCTCTGTGTGTGGTGGTTCTGGTCTCTGTGTGTGGTGGTTCTGGTCTCTGTGTGTGGTGCTTCTGGTATCTGTGTGCAGTGGTTCTGGTTTCTGTGTGTAGTGGTTCTGGTCTCTGTGTGTGGTGGTTCTGGTCTCTGTGTGTGGTGGTTCTGGTCTCTGTGTGTAGTGGTTCTGGTCTCTGTGTGTGGTGGTTCTGGTCTCTGTGTGTAGTGGTTCTGGTTTCTGTGTGTAGTGGTTCTGGTCTCTGTGTGTGGTGGTTCTGGTCTCTGTGTGTGGTGGTTCTGGTCCTTGTGTGGTTGTTCTGGTCTCTGTGTGTGGTGGTTCTGGTCTCTGTGTGTGGTTCTGGTCTCTGTGTAGTGGTTCTGGTCTCTGTGTGTGGTGGTTCTGGTCTCTGTGTGTGGTGGTTCTGGTCTCTGTGTGTAGTGGTTCTGGTTTCTGTGTGTAGTGGTTCTGGTCTCTGTGTGTGGTGGTTCTGGTCTCTGTGTGTGGTGGTTCTGATCTCTGTGTTGTGGTCCTTAAGACAAAAATCACCTCATCCAGTTTGACTTAGATTCATCCTGAGCATCAACATATTCACGATCCTTTTTGTTTTTGTAAATCTGAAACACACACGCACACGAGCAGATCCACGGATAATTAACGTGAGTTGGACTGTAAGTTGAATTTCTTTCGTACCGTACGTAGCCAACCGTGCTGATCGGAGGTGCGGGAGAAGGACAACAAACTAAACACCAAAATCAGTTCTATAGAAATGCGTTTTCAACCTACAAGATTTAAAAGTGCATAGCTTCAGTGGCTTCCTAACATTGGAAGGAAGAACCTTCCAGACGGCCGCAGAAGTGCATCTGTAAGCGCCACGCCATGCGGTGACCACCGTCTTTGCTGTGTGTTACAAGTTGAAATTAGAATTACGTTAATTTTTGGGTCTCTCTGTGATTCTGGGGGTCTCTCTGAAATTCTTTGGGTGAGTCTCTAGGTCTCTGTACGAGTCTATGGGTTTCTGTGCGAGTCTCTGGGTCTCTGTGCAAGTCTCTATGGTCTCTGTGTGAGTCTGTGGGTCTCTCGGTGCGATTCTCTGGGTCTCTGTGCGAGTCTGTGGGTGACTGTGTGGGGCTCTGGGTCTCTGTGCGAATCTCTGGGTCTCTGTGTGAGACTGTGGGTCTCTCTGTGCGATTCTCTGAGCCTCTATGTGAGTATCTGGGTCTCTCTGTGCCAGTCTCTGGGTCTCTGTGTGAGTCTGTGGGTGACTGTGTGAAGCTATGGGTCTCTGTGCGAGTCTATGGGTCTCTGTGTGAATCTATGGGTCTCTGTGCGAGTCTATGGGTCTCTGTGTGAGTCTATGGGTTTCTGTGCGAGTCTATGGGTCTATGTGCGAGTCTATGTGTCTCTGTGTGAGTCTATGGGTATCTGTGAGCATGAACAGAGTTTGCGTGATGATGGTTTATGCTTCTTGACGAGATCAGCGGCGAGGTATCATGGTTTATTTGTGTGTAAGGAGTGCGTGAGGCAGAACCACTTGTCTGTGGTTCCTCCTCGCGCATTGAAGTTGTTCTGTCCTTGCGAGCGAGCGGCTACTGTGGGTTACAAGTTTAACTCGTAATTACGTTAATTTTTTGGGTCTCTCTGTGAGTCTGTGGGTCCCTCTGTGAGTCACTGAGTCTCTGTGCAAGTCTCTAAGGCTCTGTGCGAGTCTCTGGGTCTCTGTGTGAGACTGTGGGTCTCTGTGCGATTCTCTGGGTCTCTGTGCGAGTCTCTGTGCGAGTCTCTGGGTCTCTCTGTGAGTCTGTGGGTCTCTGTGCGATTCTCTGAGCCTATGTGTGAGTATCTGGGTCTCTCTGTGCGAGTCTCTGGGTCTCTGTGTGAGTCTGTGTGTCCCACTGTGAGTCTCTGGGTCTCTGTTCAAGTCTCTAGGTCTCTGTGCAAGTCTGTGGGTCTCTCTATGCGAGCCTCTGGGTCTCTGTGCAAAGTCTCTGGGTCTCTCTGTGCCAGTTTCTGGGTGACTGTGTGAGTCTGTGGGTGACTGTGTGAGGCTATGGGTTTCTCTGTATCTCCTTCACGAGCCTCCTCTCCACACACACGATGATGATGTAGGAATAGGAGGAGGCTGCAGCAGTGGCAGTGGCAGCAGCAGCAGCTCACCAGCCAGCAGTACTCGCTCATGGGGTTCTCCTCAGACACCTCTCCCTGGTAGGGCCCAAACATCACCCCCTTGGGCAGCTTCTTCCTGTTGCTCCACACCCCGAGGCCGGCGCCGGCGATGGAGGAGGCGCCGACGGTGAGGCCCTGGGGCAGGCTGAGCCGGGCCCTGTTGGCCACTCCCGGGGCCACGGCCGCGTCCGCGATGAACTCTGGCGGGCCGTGCACGGAGCACTCCCCCAGGTAGAAATCCCTGCACAGCTCGCAGACTGAGAGCCACAGCAGCAGCAGCGGGAGGAGGGTGAACCGCAGTAGCAACAGCAGCAGCAGCAGTGGCACTGTGAGAGGGTGAGAGGGTGAGGAGCGCTCCAGACAGATGCCTCCCTCCCTCCCTCTCTGCATGGGGAACTTCTTTAGCTCGCTCATCGGAGATGTAAACCCTGTCACCTTCCCTGCATCCCTCCCTGCATCCCTGAGTGAGGGAGCAAAAGAGAGAGAGGTAAGTGAGAGTGTGAGAAAGGGAGCGTGTGAGAGGGAGGGAAAGGGGGAGAGAGTGAGAGGGAGCAAGTGGAATATATCGAGTGAGAGTGCGGGAGCAATAGAGAGAGATGGGTGAGAGTGTGACAAACTGATGGGTGAGAGTGTGACATTCTAGATTTGAAGCTTTCGTGACTGCAAGGATTCATACTCTTAGTTCTTTCGGTAAAGTCACGTAGGTAAAAAATGAAATTAAAATTAATAAAATAAATAATAAAATAATGCACCAAATCTGGCTGTGACGGTCCCACCTGATGACGGAGACTTGTGTTGCCTCCGAAACGTCGTGATTTTTATTTTTTTATTTTTATAAATTTTTATTTCATTTTTTACTTACGTGACTTTACCGAAAGAACTAAGAGTATGAGAGTGTGACAAACTGACATTGTGAGAAAGTGAGAGAGAGGTAGGGGGAGCAGGGGTCTCACAGAAGAAGTCGTCGTCCTGGGGCTCCTCCACCTCTGTGTAGACTTTCCTCTCGCGCGGGCGCAGGCCGTAGCGAGAGCGAGCGCTGCGCGACACCGCCACAGCCTGGGCGGAGGCCGGCGGCACGGAGGAGCCTGCAGGCAAACACGGCGAGATGTTGACTACCTCTCCTGGTATACGGGAGGTCGCAGATTCCATCCCGACCCTGACGAAGCCTGCTGTATATTTGGAGTCTTCGTGTCTCTCTCTCCTCTGTGGCGAGATGTTAACTCCCTCGCCTGGAATACAGGAGGTCGTGGGTGCGATCCCGACCCTGACGACCCACGCTGTATATTTGGAGTTTGCGTGTTGAACCTCCCCGTGGTTGCGTGGATTTTTCTCCGGGTCCTCCGGTTTTTCCCCTCGACATTTAGAATCAACGTCACGTGTTGAGAGTATTTGGCTGCTGTAAATGTCCACGTAATGATGATGATGACAAGTCACTTCGTTGAGCTCTCATTTGTGATAGCCAGGTCGCTTCTGAAAAACAGTTACACAGCTCAGTGCGGCTTACCCTGGTAAAATAAACATCGTTTAGTTCATAGGCTGCATCAGTACCAGCAGCAGCCCTGACAGGAGCACATGTAGCAGTAGCATCAACAGCAGTGGCGACTTCCATCAGCAGCAACAGAAGATTGCGGAGTTCCGGTGAGAATAGAGGGGAGTGTGGAGTTCCGTGAGAATAGAGGGGAGTGTGGAGTTCCGGTGAGAATAGAGGGGAGTGTGGAGTTCCGGAGAATAGAGGGGAGTGTGGAGTTCCGGTGAGAATAGAGGGAGTGTGGAGTTCCGGTGAGAATAGAGGGGAGTGTGGAGTTCCGGTGGGAATAGAGGGGAGTGTGGAGTTCCGGTGAGAATAGAGGGGAGTGTGGAGTTCCGGTGAGAATAGAGGGGAGTGTGGAGTTCCGGTGAGAATAGAGGGGAGTGTGGAGTTCCGGTGGGAATAGAGGGGAGTGTGGAGTTCCGGTGAGAATAGAGGGGAGTGTGGAGTTCCGGTGAGAATAGAGGGGAGTGTGGAGTTCCGGTGAGAATAGAGGGGAGTGTGGAGTTCCGGTGAGAATAGAGGGGAGTGTGGAGTTGCGGTGGGAATAGAAATCACCGCTGCAGGCTACGCACCTCCACGTATCCTCTGGAGCGCCACCCTCAGGGCCTCCTTGCAGGCGGTGGCTCTGCGCTCCAGCCTGAACATCGCCATCCTGGCCTTGTGCACCTCCCTCAGCTCAAATCCCCTGAACTCCTCCTCCTGCTGCTCCTCCTCCTCCACGCCCTGCAAGATGCTCCACACGTACTCCAGGGCTTCCGCTTTAGTCTGAGCGGAGGGGGCGGTGGGGTGAGGGGGCGGAGGGGGTGTGGGGGGCGGAGTTGGTGCGGTGACCAGCGGTGGCTAGGAGATGTTAACTCCCTCGCCTGGTACGCAGGAGGTCGCGGGTTCGATCTCGAGCCTGACACCTCATCGGATTCCTCCAGTACAATACATATTCTAATTCTGATATTCTGATTCTGTAAATCTGATTCCATACATCAAGCAGAACCATGCCGTCATGCTGAACCTCGGTGGGTATGGCAGGCCAAGCCTCTTCACAACTAAACTAATTAATAAACTAATAATAATAATAAGCCCAAACGTTGTACCAGAGTGCCATGCAGGGGGGCATGGTGGCTAGGAGATGTTAACAACCTCTCCTTGTACGCAGGAGGTCATGGGTTCGATCCTGACCCTGACGCCTGCTGCTGTATATTTGGAGTCTTCGTCTTTTTTTTCTCTCTCCCCGTGGTGAGGCGAGTTAGGGGAGGCACAGCCTCACCTGTTATACTCCAATGGAAATAGCTGTTACGAAAAGTACAAAGTAAAAAGTTAACCCATAAAAACAAAGTTTTTCACTATAAATCCTTTATATGCATGGCGGCTAGAGTCCTCTCGTCCTCTGGTTTGAGATGGCTGCCACCTATGGGTCAGATGATTGCCTGCCACCATTAAGCAATTGGTAATTAAATATAAAAAAAAATTCCTAAAAAGTGTAAAGTTATGGAAAAAAATTTCACGAAAATAAATTGTCACGCGCAACGAGTCTGTGTGCAAAATGTCAGCTCGATTGGATCACGGGAAGTGGGTTAAAAAACGACCGAAAGATTTGCACGGTCGTAAGCGCGCAAGCAAGCAAGCAAGTGAACTTAATATAAAGGATTAAAAAATTTAGATTTTCCACTGATCTGTGTTACGTCATTTCTGTACGATTCCAATCATTTTGATAGTCAAAATCGCCAAATTTGCGGCGCTCCGCTGCAAATACAGGGAGACGAGAGGTGAGGCAGCGACAAGCTCAGCCTCCCTCTGATTGCGCAACCCCTCAGAAACTGGATGGAGCGCGGGCAATAAGCGCGTGCCTGTTACTATCTCTCTGTAATGATTGGAATTATACAGAAATTACATTTATAACACAAATCAGTGGAACATTTTTTTCACTTTCGTAAGGGGCCGTCCATAAATGACGTCACGCACCTGGGGGGGGGGGTCAGACATTTGTGACGATGTGTGACGAGGGGGGGGGGTTGAGAAATGTGACGTCACATCAAAATGCGCAACTTTAAATAAATATAGACAACACGTTCTACTTAATTAAATAGACTTTTAATAAATGTTTTCTCCTACAACATCAGAGTGCAGCGCCACATTAAATACGCACTACAATGACAATAGTTTAAAGCGATTTGAAGCATGTTTTATTTTTTTGGGGGGGGGGGCAGAGCTTTGTGACGTCATATTTGAGGGGGGGTCTGACTTTTTGTGACGCCGTGTGACGAGGGGGGGGGGGTCAAAAATCGTCCAAAATCGCGTGACGTCATTTATGGACGGCCCCTAACAGCTATTTTCATTGGAGTATATGACAGGTGAGGCTCTGCCTCGCCTGCCTCCCCTGACTGCACGTCCCTGGTATAGCAGTGTCTAGTAGTATGTATGTACGTTGGATTTCTTTGTCACCGTACGTAGCCAACCTCGCTAATGGGAGGTGCGGGGGAAAGGACAACAAACTAAAGACAACAGCAGCAGCAGCTGTAACGAGAGGAGTGCCGTGCGCTGTGCACAGAGACCTTGCGCTTGCTGGGAGCTGCCCTCGCGTGAGACTCTCCCACGGTGGCCCAGCGTGAAGCAGCCCCCTTGCCTCCTCCTGCGTGAACACACGCACACCCACCGTGAACACACGCACGCACGTGAACACACGTGAACACCGCACACACGTGAACACACGCACACACGTGAACACACGCACACACGTGAACACACGCACGCACGTGAACACAAGCAGCACGTGAACACACACACGTGAACACACGTGTGAACACACGGACACGCATGAACATATGCAAGGACAAAGCTCCCCCGTATAGCCTTAACAGACTGTAGGGGCAAGTGCTGTTAGTGAGCACCTATGAAGGCCAGAACGGTACACGAGGGGGTGGGTGGCCAGCACCACGCCCGACCGTCTTTGTCTCCCCAGTGGTGATGTTTACACACCGCACCAGGTACTCAGTTGAGGCTGAGCCGACATAGGGGAGGCCAGGACCGGTTCAAATAATCGTCACTGGTGTTGACCGTGAGCGGGAATCGAACTCGGGTCGCCGGGTTCATAGCGCAGCGCGCTAACCGCTACACTACCGCTCCCCATATGCACACGCGTTAACACACGCACACACGTGTGAACACACGGAAATGCATTAACACACACACACACACGTGTGAACACACCCACACGCGTATTTACGCATGCAAACATTTACTCACTCACATATTTACCAAAAAGTCAATGATCTCCCCTGTGCCGCCTTAACAGACTGTTGTCACAGGACAGAACCAGGTGCCATGCCATGGGTTGACTGTTGTGCCAGGCTAGGTGCAGGTCACGAGACGGACCCTGCAGGTGCCATAGGTTTACTGAGATGACTGCCAGATGCACCACCTGTGCCCGCGACGTGCCAACTCGGTCCACAATTAAAAAGATGCCCCGTGTAGCCTTCACAGACTGTTGCGGTCAAGTGCTGTCAGCAAGCAGCATCTACGAAGGCCAGCACGGCACACGGGGGGATGGGCAGCTAGCAACACGCCCGACCGTCTTTGTCTCCCCGGTTGTGATGTTTACTACACACCACTGCACCGGGTACTCATTTTGACGCTGAGTCAACCTAGGGGAGGCTCAGGACCGGTTCGATCGTCGTCACTGGTGTTGGCCGTGAGCGGGCATTTAACTTGGTTCCGCTGGTGATTACAACCAGCTTCATCAAGCGAGT